GGAAGTGGCGCTGTGGCTCAAGTGGTAGAGTGCTAGCCTTGAGCTGAAGAGCTGAGGGACAGCACCCAGGCCCAGAGTTCAGGCCCCACGACCGACAAATAAATAAATAAATAAATACAACAAAAAAGAAATGATCCCATCCAACTCCTGAAGGTAAGCTAATCAATTTGATTGTCATTCTAAGGCAGTAGTCAGAGTAAAGTTTACAGTATCATTAAATGCACCTGAACTATACTTTGAGTCTTTATTTTTTTCTGCAAGGTCATGAATTGACAAACTACAAATAGTTATTTAGAAGTGCTAGGGAAGCTTTGCATTTAGAATATTATTAAAGGGTATTTTAAATAATGATCAGTTAAAGATTCTCCTTTCTAAGAGTATTGATATTTTGAAAGCAAGGCACAGAGTCTATTACATAAAAGACATTCAGTAAGTACTGATTGAATAGTTTTCAAAAATGAGTCATTGTAACTATCAAATTATGGATATTATACCATAGCCTCATTTGTAATATTTGCAAGTAAATTGAACAAAAGATTAGTAAAGTATGTACACATTTCTGTAGAATCTTCATATTATGAGTGCCACAGTATTGTATTCTAGTTGGAAGATGGGAATTTGCCTTAAAGTTTCATAGCATAGCAAGTATACTATTTACTTGGGTGGCAAAGGGATGCTGAAAGGAAATGAAGCCCTTCAAAATCTTTTGTTAGCTCATCTACTGGGTAGCAGGAGGGAATAAGAGGAAGTAAGAAAGTGTCTTTATTATTTGTGAATGTAGGTATTTTATACAGACTAAAGTTTTCATTGGAACAAACTCTGTTAGTTGAAATAAATTGTAAAATCTCCACGAACTTGCTGGCTAGTTTCTATGATGCTTACAGAGTCTATTTGTGTATATGTTCAGTTAATATTTGTTAATTCATTAGCTTTCACATCTCAGTTGTCTTTGTGACCGTCTGCTTAAAGCATTGTTGTAGAGACTCATGTGAAAGTAATCTAGATTCCTTTTAACGCTAACATCTGTGATGATAAACAATCACAAGGAGGGATCTTAATTAAAAAGTGCTGGAAAAGTTAGGAGTTTAACATTTTATTTTAACATGTGGTGTTAACACAGAATAAAATTAGATAATATGTATATTACTAGTAATATACATATTAGGGGCATTACTGATTATAACATGTTTTGCTACAGCATGGTATGGCCTAAGAGCACAGGTTCCAGATTTGTTGCCTCAGTTTGATTCCTGGTGTGACATAACCATTGTATACATTTATGGTTATTCTTGTTTCTTTACATGGATATAGTTTACTTTCAATAGGTCTTTCCATAATAGAGATCATACCAGAACAGGTTTATGTGTAATTTTTTTTTTCTGGGATACATGTAGGAAGGTTATTGAACACTTAGAATTTAAAAGCAATGATTGTTTTCTATTCTCACTTATTAAGTGAACTTCTAAGAAAAACAACAACAACAACTTGTATTTAGAGAGTAGATATCAAAAGCCAAACCGGTACTATTTTACTCTGAAGCAGTGTTCCAGCTGCACCATTGGAATGATTTTAAAGCAAGTTATCTCCTGCTGAAACTGCTGCCTTTGATATCAAGTGGTCATTAAAAGTCCCATGACACTTCACTAAAACTTAAAATTATCCATCACTCAGTCTTGGCTAGGGTTCAAATTTGAGAGAAGAAACTCTTAAAGTGGTGAAGGTATTTATAGTCCCCGCCGAATGCTTTTAAATACTTTTGTCTGCTGGAAGAGCACTCTCTTCAGGTGGCTGGGATGAAGAGACTCTTGTCATTCACACAGGCTTAGTTGCTGAGTCAATCATGTCTCCAAACATGCTTGCTTGTGGCTTCTAATGCATTCTTTGGTAAAACATAAATTGACAAAATTGCTTTGACTTAGAAATTGCTTAAAGTCTTTGTTTTTCTGTCTTTCTCATGCAAAAAAAAACCTCTGAGCACATTAGTTCTCTAGGAAAAATTCCAAACATAGGAAAGCTCAGAAAGGCCTCTGTAGATAGAAAGGGTTGAAGTAAAACATGTTGCTCAGAGTGATGAGACAATTAGCTGGAGTTCACTATGAAAAAAAGAATGTGATAACATTTGAATTTAATACTTTGATTTCTAAGCTCTGAGAAACATCACAGTTACAGGGAAAAAGTATTCCAAAACAGAAACATGACACAAGATAAAATTAACTTGTCATATATACTGTTTTGAAACCTAAATGCTATTTAGGGCTTCTCACTAATTTTCAATGTTGCCTTTGTATTGTACCCGGTATGGTTCATGTAATTGGATACAGAGTTCTAAGTAGAGGACCATGGTTTATAGAGAGTTGTTTCTAGTTACATTGGTATATTTCATCTTCTGTCCTCTCTGATCCTCTTCCTGCACTCTTCATTAGATGATGGCTGTTGCCCAGAATAGACTCCGAAGAGGAGGTCTGGGTTTCCTATTATTTGTTTGGCTCTTCTTTCAATCCAGTCCTGCGGCTGTGATGTCTCACCAGCTTCTGCACCGAGTTGCACAAGCCAGGGAAGGGGGGAGGTGAGGGGGAAGGGGCGTGGCATAGGGCGAACGGGGCGTGGCCAGACGCATAATGGGCGTGGCTAGCCGCGGGGTGGGGCGGGGCTTCTCTCAGAGCGGCAGGCGACGCGTCCACCCCAGGTTAGCCCCGGGCTGCCGCGGCTGCAGTGGCCCGAGCAGATGCTCGGGGTCTCTCCACCGCGCCTGTGCTTTCTTCGCCTGCTCAGCGTCAACCTGTCTGGGCAGGGGACGGACCTCTGGAAGTGCTGATTCTGGAAACTCTATCATCTCCAGCCTCCTGGCTCCTCAGGAGAAAGCAAGGGCTCTCAGGTGCATCCGGGAGTCGGAGCCCAGTGGTGCAGCAGCGCCTGCCTTCAGATCGCCCCCGCCGGAGACCTCATCTGCTACTCCTCCTCCGGTGCCCGCGGCTCACGGCGCTCGGGAAGAGTGGGCACCACTACCCGGGAAGGGGCGACCGGACGCCGAGGATGGACGCCCAGACCTGGCGCGTGGGCGTTCGTTGTCTCCTCCTCCTGGCTCTCCTCGGGTCTTCCCCGAGCGAGGGAGTGGAGACCTGCGAAGAAGTTCGGAAACTTTTCCAGTGGCGGATCGTGGGAGCTGTCAAGGGGCTGCCAGACTCGCCGCGGGCAGGTAAGGAGCGGCTGGCAGTCCTGGGCCATACTCGGGCCAATGGTCCTCTGCGCGCCCAACCGCCCAAGGCTTTCGGAGGTGACACTTGCAGGGGAAAATGACCTTTGGGGCCCTCCTGTCTGCAAGGTGGATCTCATGGAGGCCTCCAGGGATGCTGGGTGTGCACAAGGAAAGCAGCCTGAGCAGCTCTGGGGCACTCCCTACCTACGCCTGCATGCCTGCAGCCACCCCGAGTTTTGCGCCTTTGCTCCCTGTTGGGTCCCCTTCATCTTGGATGCTTTGGAAGGGTCTAGTGAAGCAGAGATCTGAGGACAGCGTGCCCCCCTGGCTGCATTTAGGTTCAGAGAAATAATTGCACGAACAGTACGGGTTTGCTGATTTCCCACAAACTGCAAGGAGTTGAGTCTGTTGCCTCTAGTTGCCTTGATAATACAAACGACAAAGCCTCATTTTTTGGGGAGGGGGTGGAGAATGCAGCACTAAGAAATCCAGTCCATCTTTAATTAGTAACAAAGAGATGTGACCTTTAGCCTCCTTTGGATGCGACCTCTCTGTCCAGTCACTAAGCCTTTCTTGCAGGAAACCCGGATTGCGAGAGTATCTCTCAGAAACATAATGTAGTTTTTAGCCTGCAAGGCGCCAGGGCAACAGGAGAGCAAACTCAGAGCACTGGGGAACAGCTTAACCTGGATAAGGTGCAATAGAGATTCAGAGTATAAGAATGTGGCTGATGGGGTCCATGTGCAGCGTGTTTGCTGCTCTTTCTGTCCGGAAGAGCAGGTATTAGCTGTCTAACACGATAGTAGGTGTCTGGAGCATGCACCTCTTCAGCCCTGACTGTGAAAACAGCACCCAGAGGAATGAACGCTGTGAGAGACTGTAGTTGAACAAAGAAAGAATTTGAGGAGGGTGCTTGATCCTAAAATCCACCCGCCTTAGTTTCTAATGTGGGCTGACTTGGCTTTTACCGATACCCAGCTTAAGCTTAGTACTTTTGCTTGCATGGTTTTGTGGTTATGAACTCAATTCTTATCCATCCCAAGAAGAAAAACTGAGTGTTTTGAGAACTGAATATACTTGAGTTTTAAATGACCAGCCTTAGAAATGCTTATTTGAATACCTATTCATTGCTTCTGGATGCATTTTCAATACTACTGGAAACAACATAGGCAACAGTTTGGGTTAGTTTGACTCTTCTCAAATATCTCTTTATAAGTATATATTTTATTTCACTACATTTTCATTAAGTAATAAATCTCACTTAGCTGCTTATAAAAAATCTAAAATGTGTGTATGTTTTTGATAAGAGTATTGAGCTGTGAGATCCTCACTTGACTTATTAGATTTTGCCCCCCAAATACAATAGTTTTGGCAGATGTATATAGCAAATGTTGACAGCTACCCAGTAAGGCTTTGATTTCAATCCTTCTCTTAGCTCAGTGGTTTTGGTGCCTGTTGAATACAACACATTGACTAGAACCTGTTTCATTTCAGTTGTAGAACCTTGTATGTGTCTTTTCTTTCAAAGAACTTCGCAGTGTACTAATCATTGAGGTAGAATTTTACCAGGATATAAGGGAAAATGGAAGCTCTGCTCTACAGTGGAGGTAGAATCTGTTGTCACAACAGATTCTAGCAACAATACCTCCTTTCAAGTCATTCTGGTTTGTGTTCCCACAGCTAGTGTCATTCTTTATCTGTAACTTAAGAAAAGCACAACAGCTCCTACTAGAAGGGATGGACAGAGTTATACTCTTAGGGGTCAGTGAGAAAAAGACTCAGTTCTCTTAACATCTTTATTAAGAAAAAGTCATGTGAAAGTATTGTGTTGATTTTGACTCACCCAATAAAAGGAACTAACATGAATTTGGCCTGATTCTGATTGTATGTGTGCATGTGCATATGCATCTGTGTGTGTGTATGTGTGTGTGTGTGTGTGTGTGTGTGTTTATCTGTCTGTGTTGGCCGCACATTTGCTTGAATTTAAATAGTATCTTTCGACATGAATCTATCTCTTCTTTCAACTAAAAAATCTCCTTCCCAGACTAAGTCACAGATACCCTATGTTTTACAAATGTTTATTTTTGTTTATATATATATATATATATAATCTATGATATTTAACATGATCCAATATGGATTTAGGGGATCTTATTTCTGAAAATATATTCTCAACTTCAAGAAAGAACATGGTTAATATGTAAGTATACATTTCCATAAGAGACTACAATATATTTTTCTAAATAAATGTATTTATCCAACACATAGCTTTCCGGTGAGTGAAACTACAATGTTCCATTTGGTGCTGATTTTTGTAAAAGTACAATTTTTTAGTACCCATCTGCATAGTTCATTTCTATGATACCTAGCAAAAATGCTGTTTTTTTAATCATATAAGGAGGTAGAATAACTTTTTAGATTCTTCCTACATGTGTGATTTTTATATCTCCTGAGAAATATATTATCCAATTTGAAATTGTTAAAATGGTGAGAACAGCCACTTAAGTTGCTTCTGCAGTCTCTCCACCTTTGTCTCTGTGTTGCTCCAATTCCTTTTAAGCCTATTGAGTTCCTAAGGATGTTTGGATGAGAAATGTAAAAAAGGGAAGAAGGTGTAAATGTGATTAGAATTACAGATTTCTCTGTGTTCTGATTTTATTTCCTAAGTAGTAGTCAAGGTGCCCTTTGCTTTTGTTTATTTTTTTCGGGGAAAAAATGGTGAGTAGAAGTGTCTTTTAAGGTCCTTTCATTCTTATTTTATTTATTGGGAGAGGAGATAATGCTTTCCAGCTGAAATTTTGTTCACACATGTGTTGTTCATACAAGTATCAGAAAGTAATTCAGAGTTGTAACTAAAACTCTAAGACTGCCATATATATAATATATATGATGATAAATAGATGGATAAATGGATGGATGGATAGCTAGATCAATGGATCGATTGATGGATCAATAGATAGAAAGAAAGAAAGAAAGAAAGCAAGATAGATAGATAGATAGATAGATAGATATAGATATAGTGGTACTAGGGCTTGAATGCAGGACCTCATGCTTGCCAGGCATGTGCTTGACCATTGAACCACATCTTCAGCCTTTTTGCATAAGAGTTATTTTGAGAAAGGGCATCACTTTTTACTCATGCCTGTGCCTGGACCACAATCCTATTTCAGACTTCCCACGGTAGCTGGAATGACAGGTAAATGCCTTGTCACTCAGTCTCTTTTGTTGAGATGGAGTCTTGCTTTTTTTTTTTTTTTGAGCTGGCCTGGAATCATGAATCAGGAAGTTCCTGGTCTCAGCCTCCTGAGTAGCTAGGATTATTGGATTGAGCATCCATGCTAGACCCAACTACTTTTTAATGAATGCTTATCAGTTGAGAACTCTGTATTATAAAATAGTTTTAAGTGATCAAACTGTTAGTCAACTTCAATTACCCAAGTCAATTAACTTGTTAAGAGTATCAGTTTATTGTGACTTTTGATTTTAGAGGCTGCAGCCCACAATCAAGTGTCCTATTGATTTATGCCTCCGGGGAGGCAGCCACTATGGCTTAAGTGTGGAGATGAAGAAACACTCCATGTCATATGCGCCTGGAGGTAAAGAAAGAACTTAGAGTCTCACTTCTTCTTTGAAGATATATGGACCCCCTTCAAGGCTCCTGCATCACAAGGTTTCACTGTACCTCCCAATAGGTTCTGTTGGGCACCAAGCCCTTACCACTTGGATGTTTCAAGAAAAGTAACATCTGAACTGTAGCAATAACTTTTATTTGGTAGGGTTTAAATGAATAGAACAATAAGAAATGGATGTGCCAAAATGAAATTCAAATGCTGTAAGACACTTTTAAGTAGACTCTGTAGTTTTGTTAAGCTGCTTTCAGTGTAATGAAATTTTATTATCATGCCAAGGACAGTTTGTCTTATTCTTATTTATACCCAAGAGCAAAGTCTTGGTTTCATTGACATCATAGATATCTGGGTTTCAAAACTTAATTTTGCCAGTTGCAGTTCTCTAGGTTAATTAATTATCATTTTTGAACCTCTGATTTTCATCTGTAAAAGTGAGAGTATTATGGAAAGGTAGATGAAAGGAAATGCCCCATGTAAACTGACACAAATTCAGGAGGATATGTTTTCAACATGTATGTCTTTTGTTTTGTTTTGGTACTGAGGTTTAAAGTCAGGGCCTGTGCTTGCTAGGCAGGTGCTCTACCACTTAAGCCATGCTTCCAGTCCTTTTGCAGTAGTTATATTTTTGGATATGGTCTTGTGTTTTTTTTGGGGGGCCAGCTTCAGACCCCTATCCTTTAATCCATGCCTTCCTGTCACTGGGATTACAACTATATATACCATCCTTGACTTGTTGGTTGAGATAAGGTATTGAACATTTTTGGCTTGGTCTGGTCTTAAACCATCATCTTCTGCTCTTATTCAATCCTAGTAGTTAGGATTACAGTGATGTCCTGCTATGCCTAGCCCTCAAAATGTACTCATTGTGGTATTTTAAATTTTAACTTTCCTTGATTTTTAGATGACATTTAGTTTCACGACTCTTGTATATCAGAAAAAAATTAGTACTTAGGTTTTCAGTCTCATGATTCATCTGTTTCTATCTGAAAGCTCATGGTAGTATTTTGTTTGTTTCTTGTGAACTACTAAAACGCTAAAAGAAAAATAAGGCTTCAGCACCACTGGGAGCAGCCTTCATAACCACAGCTCCCCCATGCCCCATTCATCTGATTTAGACTGGGGAAGTAGTGAGCTTGGAGTGGTTTCAGGAATCACACAGTTAGGGGTGCTGGTAGCCATGACCACTCCCAATCTGAAATTGGGACTCTTTCCAAGAAACTATCATTTTTGTCTGCTTGAGCAGCATAGTTATGAGTATCAGATTTCCATAGTCAATGCTGGACTCATTGTCTGATATTGAGGTGCTTTAGTAGTAGTAGTAATAATACTAGCACATATTACTTGAACAAAGTAATGAATTGCATCATGCCA